TTGGTTGGTTGGTTGGTTGGTTGGTTGGTTGGTTGGTTGGTTGGTTGGTTGTGTTGTCTTATAATGGTTTGTCGGTTGGTTGATTGGTTGGTTGGTTGTGTTATCTTATAATGTTTGGTTGGTTGGTTGGTTGGTTGGTTGGTTAGTTGGTTGATTGTTTGGTTGGTTGATTGTAGTGTCTTATACTTTTGGTCGGTTGGTTGGTTGATTGGTCGGTTGGTTTTTTGGTTGTGGAGTCTTACACATTTGGTTGGTTGGTTGGTTGGTTGGTTGGTTGGTTGGTTGGTTGGTTGGCTGGTTGGTAGCTTGGTTGGTTGGTTGGTAGGTTGGTTGGATGGTTGGTAGGTTGGTCTGATGGCTGGCTGGCTGGCTGGTTGGTTTGGTTGGTTGGTTGGTTGGTTGGTTGGTTGGTTGGTTGGTTGGTTGGTTGTTTGGTTGGTTGGTTGGTTGGTTGATTGGAGACAGACTGAAAGACTGAGACAGACAACAGCAAACAAAGACAGAAAAAGACAAATTAAGTGACTGAACGTGTTTATTCGTTGAGTGTGTGTGTTCGAGAAGGATCTTTACCTTAAACACGTAAGGCGAATGGTTTGTGTCAAGGCACGTCTTTGTGATTTAATTGTATCATTTGGGTCTCCTGTACTTTCAGTAGTTTATTTTTGCAATATCATTAGGGATGTCTTACTCTAATCCCACCACACTGTACCATGCACTGCTCTTCCATATCTGGTTGGAGGGTGACCCTGGTAAGTCCTACTTCTTTCTCTCCCTCTGTTGTTTCTGGCTGTCAGTCTTATGTTATTATCCCAGCACTAAATAACCATTATTGTGTCGATGTGTTTCTCTTTACTCAAACTGAAACAAAAGTCTTCCATATCCCTCTGAACCCTGCCAGACTCAGTCATAACATACCTTACAACACCGTAATGTATAGACCAAAGTTTTTCACCGAGGCCTGTAGTCTATTTTAGCACACGACAAACAACGTGAGTCCCATTCCAGTTTGTGGAGCACTTTTATCGAGTTTATATCTCCGTTTTCTGCAGACACTTTGCAATTATTCATACGCATGGGTTGGCCTTTTCTGGCAGGGTCAAAGTAATGGTTTCCTTAGTGATCTAAAATAGTGTCGAAAAGGGATGTAAAACTTTTACAATTACAAACATATTAGTATGTTTGTTGTTTTGCTTATTTCGAATCAAATATTTGACACAGACTATCCCTACTGCCCACCCTGTTCTCAATTATGCACTACTCGATTATTCGACCGAGTGTCTGAGCTACTTAAGTCGTTTTCATAATTAAATTTCTGCTTTCTTCTATTGATAACGAGGCTGTGGTATTTAGTAAATAGTGTGTGTGGGGGGGGGGGGAGTTTATTCACCAGAGATCGATTGTTTGAGACTGTGCTCTTCCAGTATATCTGAAAATTAATATACAGTGGACGTAAGTTTTCCACAGAAAAGGTCAAAAGCTTAAAGTGGGAACAAAGCGTGGGCAAAGAGACTGGATGTTGGGGAAGTGTTGATAGCATTCTCATTTGTGCTCAGCCGAAAACGCCTTAGTGACGTATGTTGGTTCATATGAGTGTCGTCCACATCTAATTATGATTATCAACTAAGTCGAAAAAGCATGCGTCTGTGTATGTGTGTGTAATGGAAGATAGTAACCATTTTTGTTTGTTTGTTGTTGTTTGTAATTGTTTTGTTGCTGTTTTTTTGTTTTTATATTTTTTTGTTTTTATTTTTGGGTTGTTTTTTTAAGCGTCTACTTTTGCTTCTCTTCTACCATGGATCTTTTTGGCTTCCAGGGAACCAGGGCAGAATGGCAGTCTGCCTTTTATGTGGCCGCTGCCATTTACTGTTTTGGCGCTATCTGGTGAGTTGAACCTCTGTTACCAGTCAAAAGATAGAAAGATGAGCAACTCTGAAAATTGCATGCTTTTTAACATAGGAAGGTCTTTAATAAACGTCTAGATCTCTGGGGGG